CATTCGATCTACTGAACTACTCGCAGCTGGACCATACGCTTTAGAGCACCAGTGACCAAAGAGCCCAGCTCAGTTTTCATTTTCACCAAAGAGGGACCATTGCTGAGATGGTGAACACATCTGTTTATAGAAATAAGTGGCCAGATCAATTACAATCAAAGCAAGGGATGATAGACATTTCACCTCATTAATTCAATACATTGTCATTTACGGCGATTTGACAGATTCAGTTTAATTTGTTCTGGCTAAAATTGCATTGCTAACAAATTACAAATGACTTAAACGGGTTAGTTCAAAATGCAATAATTTGCAGTTTGCACACACTCATGTCATTCAAAACTTTGCATTTGTTCCTTATGGGGAACTCCCCCAAAACACAAAAATAAATAATTATATATATATATATATATATATATATATATATATATATATACATATATATATATATATATATATATATATATATATATATATAAAATTATCCATAATTTGTTTGTTTTTTTCATGTGCGTCAACAACCAATTACTGTTTTCGAAATTTAATACTATTTAAATACTATACAAAATATCATTCACTTTATATGCCAACAATTGAATGTAGACATCACATATAGAATATGAAAATAAATGATCTTTTACAATATATTTAACAGGATTACCTAAGTGAGCATTAGTTGATAGCTAAATGTAAAAATGTAAACTGGAAAAGAGTATGACCAAATAAATAAATAAATAAACATACAAACAGGCCAATGGCTAGTACAAAAAAATATATACTGTATATATTTTTAGTACCTTATCTGAATGACAATCCTGACCTGTGAGCATATTCTTTTACGCCACACAGCAATACGACTTAGAGTGAGGAGCATTAAGAGTCAAATCTGCACTCAGCATGAGGTTCAGGAGCATGTTGTGTCCACAAACACGGAATGCAGTCGGAGTGAAAGGTTGGACTGTTCATTCGGACAGAAAATAGCTCTCTTATTAAAAAAAAAAAGTTGAAAAGTAATATTCCGCTTCCTCTCTGAGCAACTGTTTACGTGGGCCGTGATGACTGTGAGTAAGCGGGAGAGAGGAGCGTAATTTGGCAGTGCCCTTTGAGTGCTGTTACATATGGCCCTTGCACACTGTTAGTCTCCCGTGGCAACACTTCCCACGGATGCATCTGCAGTCAGCGAGCCGCTAGCGCCTCAAGTAGCATCAATCTGACGGCTACCAACTCTGCTTCTCCACAGCCTGTCAGTCTGTCTATCTGTCCTCCCTCAATCCAGTTCTCTAAAGCTACCCATAATTCTTGCTCACTGTCGCTGTCACCACACATCCCCCGAGGGGACACAGGCCACTCCACCCTGGGCTGCATGAGCTCTGGGATCTGTTGTCAGTGGCTAAGTGCTGTGGCAAGAAACAGTTGAATGGATGGAGAGAAAAGAGGCTGCAATCTCTCCAGCGGTTTTGTCTTCCTCTCTCGCTCTGAAAACCCGGTCTGGCACTGATCAATGGCATCGAGTTGAAACCCATTTGAGTGCAATCAATGCGGTACAGGCAGCGGCTCACGCAGAGGATGACTCCCAGGCCCGACCCTGCTTTTTTTAAAGATGACCCCCGCTCCTGATCCACAGCAGCCTGCTCATTATGATGGTGCGGCATTTAGACAGTACTCGCTCGCTCGCTCTCTTCCTGTTTTTCCTCTACTGCTTCCTTTTCTAGCCTGCCTCAGTTGAAGCGGCTGACTTTTCTTATTAGCATCAAAGACATTCAAAAAGGGATGTAAAACTCAAAGATTAAACAAAGGGTACCGTATCTTCACCAATCGGTTGAGTTTGAGCTGGTAAGCCAGTCACCTTCAATTTGAATCAGCACCGATCAAAAGTCTCCTGTTATTTTAGCATGCGCCTACAGTTTGGCACTGTGCAGAACATCCCTGCATAGAGTCAGCAACAAGTCTACAGCCTGAGGCATGAAGTGGGTCGACCAGCATAAGCGATAAGAAATATAAGACTGAATAGGTGACGGCGGATCAGTGGCATCAGGCTGGTAATCGTCTGCTGGGAATAGGTGACACATTTGAAGCAGCAGGGGGCAGACCAGGAGGGACTTCCTGTAATTTAAGTAAGTGCTTTGACGTCGAGTTGCACTTCTCTCCAGCAGCATGTGTAAAGACAGAGTTGATCTGTTAACTGAACTATTCTGCTTTTATGCTTCAACCCTTCTCTGTACAACACATCATGTACAGTAGAATCACAGATATGCCATATAGACACAATGAGATTTTGTTTTTGTTGATCCAAAATCATCTAAATCAAATTAATGTCACCCTAAAATTGTACCTACAATACTATTAAAAAAGAAGGGAGAAAGTGCTGTTAGTCCCTAACTAGGTATAGAAATCTAAAAGGAATTAAAGGATTAGTTCACTTTTGAAAAAACTTTTGCTGATAATTTACTCAGCCCCATGTCATCCAAGATGTCCATGTCTTTCTTTCCTCAGTCGAAAAGAAATTAAGGTTTTTGATGAAAACATTCCAGGATTTTTCTCCATATAATGGACTTACATGGGAACCAAACGGTCCGAGGTCCAAAAGACAGTTAATAACAGTTTCAGATGCAGCTTCAAATGTCTTTAAACGACACCAGACGATGAATAAGGGTCTTATCATGCGAAACGATCGGTTATTTCAAAACTTATTTCAAAAATGTAACTTTTCTAAGGACAAATACTAGCCTTGCTCTATTCTGTGAGGCGTGTTTGTAACGTCACGTAATACGTAATTACGTTCAAAAGGTCACGGGGCGACGTAGCCGGAAGTACAGAGTCAGTGTTTACAAGTTGAACGCATAGGTTGAACGTGAAAACTAACTCAAACGGCGTTTACAAAAAAAGGAATTAAAAGGTAAAACAACGATGTTGGACGATTTTGATTCTGTACTTCCGGCTACGTCGCCCGTGACCTTTTGAACGTAATTACGTGACGTAATTTGTCCTTAGAAAAGTAACATTTTTGGAATAAGTTTTGAAATAACCAATCGTTTCGCATGATAAGACCCTTATTCATTGTCTGGTGTCGTTTAAAGACATTTGAAGCTACATCTGAAACTGTTATTAACTGTCTTTTGGACTTTGGACCGTCTGGTTCCCATGTAAGTCATTATATGGAAAAAAATCCTGGAATCTTTTCATCAAAAACCTTAATTTCTTTTCGACTGAGGAAAGAAAGACATGGACATCTTGGATGACATGGGGGTGAGTAAATTAATCAGCAAAAGTTTTTTTTCAAAAGTGAACTAATCCTTTAAGATCTGATTTCAAAATTATTTCTGATGCATCTAAATTTAAAACCAAGTCCTGGCCAAATGTGATGTGAAGCTGTTACATGGGATAAAATGCATCTTTTCCATGTTAATCAGAGTTTGCGTCCTATCCAGCCGCAACATATCCGATACATGACGAGTGGCATGATTCGTTTCTGTGACATTGTGACTGGTACAACATACAAAGTATGACAATGATAATCTCAGGTACTGATCTTGTCCTTTATTTAATGTTAAAATAATTGAATATGATTTTGCTTATCATTTTGCATAACTTTTATAGACAAACTGAAAGCGACAATGGATAACTCACCTCAGATCTGAATAAATGAAAAGATAGAACGTTCAAAATGTGAACTCAGTGTGAACAAACAAGTGTATCCTATGACAAAAATTGTTGCAGTCACTCTGTATGCAAAAAATGGTGTAATATTTATGAATTAGGTCATTTGTTTTAACAAACAAAGAGGTCAGCCCAAACACTCTTTTGATTGGCTGTGATTTTTGGTTGATTTTGTTGCATCACGTGTTGTGTGAACAGACAAATTGTGTGTCACTGGATTCTCATTGCAGTGCATGTTTTTAACTGGGTCTTAAAAGTAGATAGAGAAGTGAGTTCCAACGATTAGGAGTAGTAACAGAACAGTAACATCATCACACTTTGCCTACGTTTGAATTTGCTTACTATATAGTAGGAACTATATTTGGTTTAAAACTTACCTCGTGACAGTTAAAAAAGTACCATGAATGTGTGTAGTATGAATGAAATTCAGACTACGTACTACAACCACCATTTTGTCACTGTCAAGTGACATACGCTTAATTTGTCATTGATTGGGTGGATCGCAATTTGTTTTGGTTTTGATTGGTTGGTGAAACCAACTGCTTTTGCGTGCAGATCTCAGAGACTAGGCTGCCAACAGAAACATGTTCATTTATGTTGACTGCTTAATCTAGTAGATCGTTAGGATAGATTAGATGAATGTGATCATTTATGTTTTGATCCTTTTGGGCCTGAAACCGCTGATACAACCTTTAAAATATATATTAAACTATTACTAAATACAATATTACAATAAAGATTTTAATTATACATTTACTATACAACTACATACAACTGTACATTTACGTTTTGAGTAAAATTAATTATCAATGTGTATAATTAGATCTATATAATTGCGTTAGGGTTAGATCCATGTAAATAGGCATAATATACTGTTATTACAACAGTAAGTCTATGTAACGGACACTGTAAAATAAAGTGTTACCCTTTCTGTCTTGAAATGTAATTTTTGCTTTAATTTTATGATGGCAAAGGTGAATTTTCATGTGTTAATCTTCAGTGTCACATGATCCTTCTAATATGCTGATTTGGTGTTCTTTTTCATGATTATTTTTATATTTTATTTTATTAAAAAGGTCAAAATAATGGCATTTATTTAAAAAAAAAAATCTTCTGTAACATTATACATGTTTTTACCGTGAATTATAAAGTATCAAACAAGGATGCATTTTTTAAAACACATTTCTATTGTCCTACAAGATCAAATATGCAATATTCCAACACTGTCAAATGCATGTAATATGATCATTAAGCACTGAACGCTTTATCTTTAGTAATTCTGAGTTGCATTTGTGCTGTATATGTGGTTATCTCTATAGATTGTGGTATCTCTCTTATGTGTTTACCTCCTTGTCTGGTGAACTCATCTGCTTCATGGTGAACCAGGTCCGCCACACATCCTCCATAATGAAGGCGCGAGTCGTGATCGAAAGCTTTCAGGGTCTCACTAGAGCTGTATGATTTCTGGGTGGGTACGCGACATTCGTCGTTGTCAAGGGAGGAGGTGGTGAACTGGAAATCTTTCCCACAGCGGCCGTGGGTCAGTGTACGGTGCCTGCGCTCTTTCAGATCCATGACATCTGCTGCAGCCCGATGATCAGATCAGTCCACAAGGTGGAGGTCTCAACAGCTGTACAGTCCTTCACCTGTTAACAGAAGACAACACAAATCAATAGATTTCAAAACCTAAATTCCCTCCCAAAACGACCAAAATGAATTGCAGGTTGTTGCTGGTTTTGTGCTGGTCCAGCAAGTGGACCAACATAGTCATGTTGTTTGCCAGCAAATCTTATCCAAAGAAGCTTTCCGCAAGAGAATCTCACTGATTAAAGCAGTTTTAACAGCACTGCAGCATCATAAATCCAGGCCCATGTGGAATCACAAAGCTTTGCAGAATTGCGTAGAATTATAACATCCATTACTCAAAACATTATAAACTCTGTGTGCGCTCAGTTATTAAATATTTTGGATAATTTGATTATGCCTCAGCCACCAAACATAATGTGGTACTCGGCCATATGCAACAAATTTTACCATTCTGAAGAACTTCACAGATTTCACACAGCCCAGAAAATGTGAACATGTTTATTTCTAGATATTATAAAGTAAGGCAAGGCAAGGCAAGTTTATTTATATAGCACATTTCATACACATTGGTAATTAATTCAAAGTGCTTCACATAGAAGAAATTAAAATAATCAAAACAAATCAAAAAAATAAAATAAAGTACAGTACAGTAAACGAACAGTGGCACAGTGCTCATTCAGTAAATGCACAGCTAAACAGAAGTGTTTTGAGTCTGATAAACAGCAAAGTAAACAGCATATCATTCAGTCATTGCCAAATGAATTAATCCTGTCTGTGAATTACAGACAAACAAAATCTCTTTCCACAGCAACTTTGGCTGCATAGCTTGTTCATGAACAAAACATAGGAGAATAATCTAAACAACAAAAAAAAAAGAAGCTGTCATCACAGCCATAATCACAGATAAAATAGTAGAGCAGGAACTGAGACGTGTAGAGGAGTGAAGTCATGATGCCGGTGAAGAATGAGTGATAGAGTGAAACAGAGGAGAAGGGGGAGGAGAAAGGAAATGACTTGAGGGCATTGCAAGTCTCTTCCTCATTATCGCAGACAGAGTGAGAAAAGCTCCCTCTGTGGCCGTGAGAGGATAATCACAGATGCCTGGATGTGCCGAGAGAAACAGGGAACCGAACACAGCTCGGCCCGATAGTATCACACGCTCACACACAAAAACACCAGCACTTATCTATTTTAAACCCAATGCACACTGACTGAGATGCCACCCTAGCCCAAAACTATCAAAGACAGATGAGTTCTGCCACTTTTTTAAGGTGCTTTCAATGTTAAAATACTTTCACTAGGAATGCAAATGAGTAATGCTATTTGGAATGTGAATATAATAATAAATTCTCACTAATGAACTGCACAGTTTTAAATGATTAACAATGATTAATCGCATTAGCTGTGCCTAATTTAATTATACATACAGTACCATTTTTTTTTTTCCCTAAAATGTTCTGGGGAAAAGTATCATGGTTCGCGCAAAACTGTCTTAAACTTTGATTGCAATAAAAAATAATAAGAAGAAATGTTTATTGAGCAGCAAATCAGCATATTAGAATGATTTCTGAAGGATTACATCTGAAGTATGATGCTGAAAAGTCCACCATGCATCACAGGAATAAATTAAATTTCAAATAGAGCCCGACCGATACAGATTTTTTTGGGGCCGATACCGATAAAAATACCAGATACCGATATATCGGCCGATATTATTTAAGTGTATAGTAAAATACAGTAGCTATTTTATGTATGTGCATTATAGTACAGTACCAGTCAAAAGTTTGGACACACATTCATATTGGTGTGAACAAACTTTTGAGGGGTAGGCGCGTGAACTGAAACTCGTCTCATAAATGAACCAAAACTCAGTGTATAGACCTTTGCAGCGACACTGACTGAAAATACGATTAAAATTTCTCCTTGCTATATTTGATGTATTCATAATCATTACTTTTGCCAGTTCTTTGTGACAGCTTTTATGTGCTTTATTGGCATTGCCACCCTTACATCACAGCACCCACATTTTTTTCTGTTTTAAATATTCATTTATCAGCCATTATAAATGCCAATACTGATAGTTAGGAAAATGGCTAATATCAGCAGATAATATCGGCCCGCCGATTTATCGGTTGGGCTCTAATTTTAAGATATACTAAAATAGAAAACAGTTATTTTAAAGTACAGTTTTTTTTAGCCCTGGTAATCATAAAATCTTTCCGACCCCAGACTTTCGCTAAGTGGTGTCTATGTACGCATTTATTTTAAACCCTGAATAAATGTAGAATCAACAAAATACAATTAGTCCAGGAGACAGCGTCTAGACGTGGGGCATGTAATTTGCACAAAAAGATAATCACATTATCACAAAAATGACGAAAGCGTTAATTTTCATTGCACAGTTTTTTTTTTTTTTTTTTTTTTTTTCGTCGCCTCTCACTGTGAAACTCTTTAGAGCATGTGCACTACTACCCGCAAAGGCCATATAACAGACACCAATATAACTGCAGACATTTTGCGTGAAAGCCAGTTGACTGTAATTAGACACTAATTCATGTTAAATTCACGCACAATCGTCCGGACAGAGTACATCAGGAGGAATTTTAGCTGCCCAACCACCCCCACCACCTAACACATTCTCATCCTAGGGCGTCATACAGTGACGTTTTTGCCAATGCGTATATACATCCAACGCACATGGCACCCTTTAGCATCAATATAACATGTTTCGGTTATGGGTAGGTTTAGGTCTGGGGTAGTGTTAGGGTTAGACCACTAGGAGGCACCTTCTGGCCCATATACTGTATATCTGCGTCTCATATTGACGCTAAAGGGTGCCATGTGCGTTGGATGTATACGAATTGTCAAAAGCGTCACTATATGATGCCTTGGGATGAGAACGGGTTGCACCACCACACCCACCCCAACAAGCATTCTCCACGCTGTTCCTCCTGTATTAGCTGAATTGGAGGAGAAGTCCACTGCCCAAGGGACAGTCTGGCGTTTGGCATAGAGAGGATGATTTTTCTGCACAGCAAAGGATCATTACATAACAGCATAGCCACTAGCTGTCCTGCACATACTAAAAATAATTGAATATGCAGAGGAATAATAATCAGGTCACCTAACACGGTAATTATTTACTGAGAAACACTCGCATAAAAGAACGAGACAGACAAAGCGTGCAACACTTGCTCAATACGGATTCATTAAAGAGACTATAAGGTCATTTCAAGATTTGCCTCCAGTGTCTGTTGATTAGAAGCGGATATTTAATGTTTATAAAGTCCTCATTATGGGCTAAAATAAAACATTCAATTGCAGAGGCCATTAACGGTTCAGAATATAAAACAGACAGAGCTTCGGATTGTCAAATGCAGGACAAATCTTTGCTCACGAACGAATGACCAATTACCCATGTCCATCCAAATACGAAACGGTCCATTTCGAGTCAAAAAATGTCCATTCAATGCATCTGACCTTTATTCAACCAGACCTGCACTGGAAAGCTTTGTTGTGATGTCTGGAGAGGTTTATTTGGTCAGCCATTGGGCTGCAGGGGCCTTTCATGACTATGATTAAGATGCAGTGACATTGTGGATTTCTGCGAGAGCAGCACACTGTGGGAGGGAGGGCTGGTTGAAGGAGGGCCCCGGGGCTGCTCTAACACCACAGTGGTGAGATGATGCACGATGGTGTGGAGGAGAACCGGGTCAATATGAGCACAGGCTGCAGCACAACCAGGTCAGTCTTTCCATTCATTACAGGCAGTGGAGGAGAAGAGAGGCCTCAGGGCTCAGAGCAGATCCTGCCTCCCTCTCCTCGGGCTCAGCCTGATGATACTTCCCCCCTTTCACAGGACTACCATCCTCCCCAGAGAGAGGGACAGGAGATATGATGAAGAGAGAGAGAGAGCCATGGAGTGAGGAGGAATAACAGGATTGGTGGAAGAATCTAGGACAGGCGATCAATTACAGGGAAACAATAATGGAGAACGCATCAATGCCTATCCATCCCACAATTTCTACACTGTAAAAAATGATTTTTTGGTTAACCCTCCTGTTACCCTCAAATCTGATAACACTTTTTACCCTCTGGGGTCAATTTGACCCCAGTAATTTAAACCTCCACAATATGTTTATTTTTTTAAAAAGGTTTGTCTCAGTTAATTTATGTCTTTGTTGACTACTTAAGTAACGTTTTAAGTTGACATCCACCCACCACCCCCCTCCCCTCCCCACCCCACCTAACCCCACCTAACCCCTTACACATCCAGAATACCCATTGCACGACTATGGACAAATTCACAAATCAACATAAAATCTTACTGATTTGACCTAAAATTGGAAAAGTATAAATACATCTGGTGTTTTATTTGTTTTATAATATTTCTAAGTACAGATTTATGTAATCTAGGACATTTGGAAAGAAAAACTATTTATTTTATCAAGGATAGTAACACGAGTTATGTTTGGGGTCAATCTCACAAAAATTATGTTTTCTCCTCCCCCATGGCACGGGAAAAATCTAATTTCTCACAAAAATGAGGTTTTCCCCTCCCAAATACACAGGGAAGAATTTAGTTATCTTGAGAATTATGTCACATGTCATGTGAACTACTAGTAGTTCTCGCAATACTACAGATATGGTTATGTTTGGTTAGAGCCCTAAAACAGAGGGACGTTTTTTGAAAATGATATTGAATATGTAAAAATACAATGAACATTATAAATTCAAATTATAACATGTTATAATGACCTCAATGTAACAACCAAAACAAATGTGTGTGAAATTTTTATATTTCTTCTGTTTTATTATACATCTAAAAGAGCCTGGGGTCAAATTGACCCCAAGGAACACCGATGTTACAAAATTTGTACAGGACTTGGAAAAAATATTAGCAGGTTAATTTTATGTTTACAGAGTTGTCCCCATTAAATTAGGAAAAGTCATTAAATTTGAAGCAAAAAAAAAAATAAAAAAAAATAATGTTTTTACAGACGTTAAACATTGAATGGGGTCAAATTGACCCCAAGGATAATAGGAGGGTTAAGTAAAT